GGGGTGTTAGATGGGTTTATGGGGGTGAGAAAGGAAGTGTTGGATGAGAGCGATGTTTGACTTACATTCGTTGAGAACGTATTTGAGATACTTCAGATCACGAAGAGTCTCGTAATCTGGTTTCTTTCCATTTAACGTATTGATTTCTGCCTTCAGTTTTCGGAAGACGTGAGGATGTCGGACGAGGGCGTGGAAGGTGTTGGACAGGAGGCTTGCGGTGGTGTCCCTACCGGCTAGCAATATATTCAAGAGCTGATCACGCAAGACTTGCGGGTCTCGGGTAGATTTTATTAACTCGGTCAAGAAAACATATCTCTCGCCCTCTTCGTCGAAAGGCTTCTCTGGATTATTAGACGGGGTATTTTGCAGAGCTTCAAGTACGATCCTATCGACGATTCGATGCACCTCTTTACAAGCCTTGTCAAAGTTTGTATCGCGGTAAAGCCAAGCTAGTTTTCCCATTCGAATTCGCATGCCTAACCGGCTTTGAGCTAGGTCGAAAGCCTTTCCAAATCTTTCTTGGTCTGAGCCTTGAGGAGCGTCAAATGATCCGACGGATTGACCGAAGAGGAACTCAGTCGCGGAGTCTAAGGTTAGTTGAAAGAAGAGCGGTTGGAGGTCGAATGTTGTGCCATCTTGAGGGATATGAGCAATCAGCTTCTGGATGTGAGTTTCGAATGTGTCGAGGTTAGCTACTTGAGCTTTTGTGAAGTTTGGTCTGACAAGAGCCTGTTCAGCGTTAGTACTTTACTGTGACCACTATTTCTTAGTGCTTGCCCTTGAGTGTTCCCATTCAGCGCCATCTATCGCAATATCAGTATGGCTTTGAAAATATTGCCAAGAGGCAAAAGGTAATACCAGTTGTGAAAATCCCCTTTCCAAGCAAAGGTCTACATGCCTCTTGGCGGCCCCCTATCCCAAAGTCCGTGAAGCTTGTCGCCAGAATCGTTTTGATATTCTCCGTCTCTATCGTATTGTAGAAACGACCTCCCATTAAAGAAAGAGACCACGTGAGTCCATATTTCTGATACCGTGAATAGGCCAAGCCAAGAACGTTGTTATTCTTGAAAGCCTCAACTTGGATTCGGAAGATATCATATCCGAGAATAGGGTCAACTTGTGGAATTCTTGTCTCGGGCTGACAACCGTGGTTCCGCTTGAAAAGTGCCACTTGGATAGATCTGAAGATAAATCTGGTTGTGAGGACCAAGGTCATGAAGGTGACGATGGTGAATACATTGTACGCCATTCGACCTGAAGCCCCGAGAAGACATGCAGTAAAGAGGTGAAAGAGAAGAAAGAGAGAGCCAAAACGAAGGACAAGAGAACCAGAACTCAAGACATGAGAGAAAGTGCGAACGCCGGAGTTCACCTAATCATGAGGCTGAGGGCAATTGGTGAGCTGAGTGCTGTTCACTCGCTCAACATATGCTCCTCACCGTATTGTAAGACCACTGAAGAAAGGAAGCGAGGCAAAGAAAAGGCACAATTGAGAGGGTGGAAGGATGATCTTCCTCCGTGTTCGTGTATATCCACGTGGACCTGCTCACTTGTGCTGGGTTCCTTCCGTGATTCTGCTGCTCTGGTTTGCCTTGATTTGCTGAAGATATCTCGGTCGTCAGGAATGATTGCGACTGGCGCAATATCTTGAGACCACAGGCATAGTTGAAGGAGGAAGTCGTGAAATGCGGCCCGACCATTGGCTAGATTACGAGCGGGGGCGGAATATTGTTTAGGCGAGGAAGCTATGTAAGCAGCCTCTTTTCGGGTTCTACCCATTTTCAGCTTGCTGTTCGTGCACGATGCGATGCGCGTTTGCAAGAAAAATATTCTTGCCTGATTCACAAGAAATTCATAAAACAAAGGATTGTATGAAGGGGATTTTATGATTCTTACATCTTATGCCTGGCTCTCATGTCGGGTCGCGCCGGCAAGAACTCATCCTATATATTTTCGTCCAGCACGTCGTTCCGTGGCTCGCGTAGCAGATCACCGAGAAGTTTCAATTAACCATGAATGATCGTAGATTTTTACAGCCAGTCCTTTCAAGAAATACCCACCTTTTCCAGAATAGATTGCGTTGACCGATCCCTAGCTTCTCAAGCTTTTCGCTACTCCACTTGTTTGCCTTCCATATCAAACGTGCGCAGTTTAAATAAAGCCTCAGATCAGGCGAGAGTCGAGACCTCAAGATCATCCTGATGGAATTTTCTTTCACCCATTATTTCAGCCCACCCATCTCCCTACCGAGTATCCACGGATGGACCGCTGCGTGCCTGCCTAAGTAGCTCATTAGCCCAACTAATCCGTTCTGAAATGTAGAAAGCATGGCCAAGGCGCCTCTCAACCACTTGTGAAGCCAACTGCTGGCTCTAGCAAAAGTGCACGCATGATAACGACTCAACGAAAGACGTTGTAGTAGTAGGCCCGATAGGCTATCGCCAATCTTTGTGTTCAAACACGAATACCGGTACCACAAATTGCATATATGAGAACATCGAGCTTGAAGTGACGACGTTCATTATTGGCCATTTTAAGCTATTCTTGACGTCTTTGACAAATGTTGGCACTCAAGTCAAGTCGGGTACAGCCGTGTGCTAAGAAGTGTCTGTATGGGTACTTGAGACAGTGCCACCAGGTGCAATATTACCAGACAAATTGGAAACGCCACAGCCTCAAAGCAAATAAACGAGAACTGAAGTAGGAGATTGTGGCGCTTCCTTATCTCTTATCGCAAGCCTTTTTGGAAATTTCTCTCCTGATAAACGTTTGAGAATGACGCAACATTTCAGACAGTCGGCGGCTTCTCGGAAGCTGCGAGAATCGGAGCATTTTTCGCTGTCGGGCCGCTCTCGACCGAATGAATCCATCAACCGAATCCATCAAGCGAAGAACAGAAGACACAGGGAGGATGGCTGCCATTTCCATAGCGACAATTAAATTGAGACTTCTAGTGAGTCATAGTAGTGTGATGACTTATTCCATCGATCTTAGATTCATTGTTGCCGTACTTGTAAAAGAGCACCTCAAGTGACGGCGTATGAGTGTATGGATGTATGCAGGGGGCCTTGAGAATGATTAGCACATGGTATGATAGAAGAGCCTTGGCCCTTGTTACTGTACGCATACGCAGGGCATACGCCATATTCCATGTGTTGTGGTGCTGCACCTGCACCGGATCTTTTCAGGTGCCTCCGATTGCGGGCACAAAGTCTCTCGAGGCAGGTAGACCGCGTTCTCCCGCAGACACACATCTGGCGCATCTGTACCTATGGATCCTCAAGGTCAAGGAACGGCTTAAGAGAATTCACCTGAGAGAGCTCCCATCAATGGCCGTCAATATCCAGCATGGAGGGCGTAGCCTTCCCACCCTCAAGCTCACCCTCACCCTCATTTATACCCTCCAGTCTGGGTCTGGACGGAATAAGCCCGAGATATCTAAAGATACCGAGCACCCGGGAGACCAGACACCGGCGAGCAACAAAGAGCAGAGAGCCCTTTGGGCGACACACGACGTTGGTGTTGGTGTTGGTACTATTCATATCAAATACGAGTACTCATAGAATACTACTCGGTAGAGTACCTACTCCCACTCTCTCACAATCTCTCTCTCGCCACAACCGCCCAGCCCTCAGTCCTGACTCTCAACGGAACCCCCACCAACCGTCCGTCCCACTATCAACGGTGCCCACTCTCGTCTGCACTGGCTTAAGGTTGCGCCCACCAGGCCGGCATTGGCACTGGCATGATTGGCGTGGCATTGAGTTGACATTGGCTCGGAAGGGCTTGATATCAAAGTTAGATGTGCGTAGGGTTCCGTCTTCATCGCCCACTAAAGTGGATATCAACATCGGCTGTCGCTGCAGGCCGTGAGCTGAGGTGACGGTGACTGCACCGAGACGGGAATCTGGCTGGCTGTCTGCCAAAGGCAGATTCTGATCTGTGCAGGCGCGAACCTGCGAGTAAAAACGGCAGGATCGAACGCATGTGAAGAGAAATCTTCCTTCTCCTGAACTCTCTCGATCTCTCGACCTTCTCATTGTCAACCCGTGCCGGTCTTTACCCTCCTTCACCCGCGACTCTTATCAGTGCAACTTTTTTCTATATCACTTTTGCCTCGCTGCCCACCATCCATAGCTTTTTTTTCATTGCATACAATATCTGCTCGAAATCGAGCTTCGCGCATGCAATAGCTTGCCAACATGCCTAGCTTCAATCCTCTGGGAAACATTACGGGCAGGACGAGTGCGACTTTATTTGAAATTCGGTATATCATGTTGTCGCAAACATCCTATCGACTAGCTAATGCTTTGTAGCCTCGACAATGACATTCTCGTCCTTCGTGGAGCCGCGGACGAAGCCTCCAGCCAAATGCTCAAAGGATCGGTGGTTTTGTGTCTTCCGGCGCCTCTGAGAGTGGAAGATGTACATATGCGAATGACGGGCCATCTGAGAGTTGGGTGGGTTGTTTGTTGCGCAAAATTAACTTTCCATACTGACTTTACGACCCCAGATGGAATGATGCGAGATATACCCCAACCGGCATATCGAATAATAAAGTTGAGAGCAAAGCCGAAATATTCAATCACCTGTGGGCCCCCTTCTATGGTGGAGGTGGTCCTGGGTCCTCTTCAAAAGGAGGAATTTTACAAGCGGGAAACTACGAATGGCCCTTTGAGCTCGTCGTACCAGGTGGCATGGCCGAGAGCATAGAAGGCTTGTCCGAGTCCCATATTATATACAGGCTCAAGGCGACGGTTGCGAGAGGAAAACTGGCATACGATTTACATACCACCAAACCAGTTCGCATCGTGCGAACGTTAGATCCATCCGCTTTGGAACTGGCTCATTCTATGACCGTGGAAAACATTTGGCCAAACAAGGTCGAGTACTCGCTGATCATTCCTCAAAAGGCCATTGTTTTTGGAACTTTCATCCCCCTCGAGATGACTTTTACTTTGTTGTTGAAGGGACTGAAGATTGGCACCATAAAATGCGAACTCGTCGAAACTCAAGAATTCACTATACCAGGCGCAAACGCATATTCCGAAAAATACTGGAAGTACGTAAGAAGTGTTGATACATGGGAGTTTGAAGTAGACGAAGAGCAGCACTATATGGACATGCTGACCGAAGAGGGCCAAGACGGCTACCGGTTGAAGGAAATTCTTCCGTTGCCCAAGCAATTGAAACGATGTCTACAAGATGTAGATATCCACGGGATTAAAATTCGGCACAAGGTCAAGTTTAATATCGCTTTGCTGAATCCGGACGGGCACACCTCCGAAGTGAGTCACATGTAGGCGCCATCCGGCCCTCAAATATCTTTATTGGACACTGAATTAGAATGCTAATCTGACCAGCTTCGGGCAAGTCTTCCTGTGACTATTTTCATCTCACCCATGGCCCCTATCAACTGCGATGGTGCTCTCGTGGACCAAACTCCAACAACCCCAGGACTAACTACGACTTCCATGCAAAGACATGCGCCACCACTTTATGGAGATCACGTTACCGATCAGTTGTACGCTGATGTCGATCTATCGGGATTCATGACACCAGCACCTCAATCCGGTATGAATACGCCTTTTTATAGCCAGTCGAGAGCTGGTTCCCATGAGAATCTTGCGTCATTGAATGGCATGACTTCAATGTCAGATAACGGATCCCACCATCATCATCCTTCTCATAATTCTCACCATCCTCATCACCCAGTCGGGGCTGTGGCACCTGCAGCGCTATCCTCCAGACTCCAGAATCTGAACATTGCTTCTCGAAGCAGCAGTTTTCTCCGTCGACACACCGGATCGCATTCTGGTGCGACTACCCCCCATCATCAACATTTTCATCATAACAATGATGATGGATATTTTGGAAACCATGGTCACTCTAACTTGCATTCCCCTACCATGCCAGGCTACCATGGCCGGGATCCACACAGCAGTGGTCACAGTGCTGGCCAGAGAAGTAATCCATTGAGTCGCCGTAATAGTCACGAAGACTTACACCACAACGGTGGCCCATCGAGAGTAACGAGTGGCCACCATACGCCCGAGCATCTTGATGAATTCGGAGATTTGACCAAGGTGCCATCATATCAAACAGCTGTCAAGACGCCAATACGGGGAATGAGTTATAACGAGAACTTGCCAAATTACGAAACAGTTCTTTCCCAACCACCTAGTCCTGATAACCGACGGTTCAGCGGGTTTTCTACTCCTGCTCTACAGCCAGTTACCTCTGCGCCAGCCGGATCTGCTGTTCCGCGTACCTCGATTGGATTCACACCTATGAGACCACCACCCGCACCGGTTGCTTCAAAAATTGATGCTACTGAAGAGAGACGACGGAGTGTTTTACAAAATACAGAGAATAGGCAATAGAGATGAAGCCATAGAGATAGAGGCTTCATAGTTAGTTTTTTCTCTTTCTTTTTTCAATCTCCTTGAAGGAGAGGCGTTCGATTAGGATGGGATAGAAAGTATAGATCGACAGCATAGCATCATGGCGTTCTGAAGTGTAAGGGGGATCATGGGTTAAATGCGTCTTTCGGGGTTGGGATAAAAGGGGAGTACTGTAATGAAGCGTGGAATATCACCTCTCTTGAATACAAATAATTCGAAATTGTTGTTACGTGCAATTCTGTGATGGTGAAATTCTTGGTTTGTGACAGAGCTTATGTGAGTAATAGTTTTTAGGAACTTACTTGGTTTTGTAGACTTTGCTGAGGGGCGGGAGATATCGAAGCTACCCCTGCTGGTGCCCGCGAAGACTGTACCTACAATCGAGTAGCTTTAAAGCCACTATGCATGGGCCACGTGAAGTTCCCCAAAAAATATAGCTTAGTGATGGAACCTCCCTTGCTCATCAACACCACAACACACCCACAATGAAACGTATAAACCAACCGCCGCTGGCAGAAGCCGCAAAGGCTTTACGAAGCCAAAACCGCCCCCAAATACTCCCTCTCTTCTCCCAACGCTGTTGTCTACACACCTCATCCCCACAATCCGCAACGATAGCACCCATCACAGCGACCGGACCGCCACCCAATGCCCCGGTTCCCAGCGCGGACCACGTCGATGCACGCGTTGCGCGGAGGAGGAAACAAACTGATCTGCTGAAGAGGGGTCAGGATATGAGGGCTGTGGCGGGGGGCAAGGGAGGGGGGAGTGCGAAAACAAAGAGGTTTTGGAAGCATGTTCATGTTAAGGAGACTCCGGGTATGTTCGAGAAATCATCTAGGTGGGTGTAGGTAAAATGCTGGCTAATTGAATGAATCATATAGAGGGGTTACAGGTCCTTCTTGATACGAGACCGCTGAGGAGACCGAATAAGGAGTTACTCCTCATCCCATATCATAAACCGCATCTTGCGTCTGCTATTGCGCTCGAGTGGGATCTTCTGATCTCAGCGCAACAGGCTATGCGGCAACATCTCATCCCACTTACCTCGCTCCTCTCCCGCGCCCTCGATATCGCGGACGAGGGTCCAGATGGCGAGATCCGAGCGAGTATCGTGAAGACGGTCATGCGCTACCTGGATACCGACTCGCTGCTCTGCTGGGCACCGGAACCCCCTGCTGATCCGCCCGGGTACGAGACGCATGTTAAGCGCACAGAGAGCCTGCGCAGCATCCAGCGGAAGACGGCGGAACCGGTCATTGCCTTCCTGACGCAGAAGGTCTGGCCTGGTGTAGAGATCCTGCCGGTGCTGGATGCGGATAGTATTGTGCCGCGTGCGCAGCCGCAGGTGACGAGGGATGTGATTCGGGGGTGGGTGAGTGGCTTGCCGGCTTTTGAGCTGGCGGCTTTGGAGAGGGGGGTGCTTGCTGGGAAGGGTTTGTTGGGTGCGGTGAGGTTGGTGGTTGAGTGGAGTGCGGAGTTGGGACATTTGAGGGGGGAGACGGAGGAGAGATGGGGGGTTGAGGAGGCGAGTCGCGCGGCGAGTGTGGAGGTTGATTGGCAGACGGGGATGTGGGGGGAGGTGGAGGATACGCATGATGTTGAGAAGGAGGATGTGAGGAGGCAGATGGGGAGTGTGGTTTTGCTTGTTGCGGGGGAGAGAAAGTAGATGTGGTGAACGAAGATACGGTTGTAGGTTATTTGTAGATTATCTAAACTAAGAGTGTACTTACTCTATATTCCTACGAATTGGTGCCATAACCTTATCCATCCTTGAAATAATATCCAGGTACGAATATGTGCGGGCCTTCTCGCATGTCAAGGATAACTAGGAAGGGATTCCAGATCTTTGTTCTACTTCTACATCATTTTCCTAGGAATCGCTTAGGATAAAGGGGGGAGGGGGGAGTGGAACACTAGGTTCACCAAAGAATTTAGATACCTTGTAAACATAACTAACCCGGTCAGCGTTGGGCAACTGGGATTTTATTCCATTCCCGACCTCCTATATTGAATATTTTATTTCATTTTTTATAAGGTTTGGGGGGCACTCTAATTCTGGACTCTAGAATATAGAATTCCACTCTGGGGAGGGGGAGGGGGGTTGGTCACATGACCTTTCTATAGTCCCAGGCTGGGAGTAAGCTGGCCGAGTATCAAAGCTGGGTGAGTATTGTTTGAATATTGGGGGTGTAGGGGATGGGAGGTTGGGCTTGATTTAATGTCTTAGGTAGAAGCGAAGTGTGTAAAGAATGGGACGTAAGGTCCTTATACTACTTACTCATTTATTGTCAGTACCGAGGTTTCATCAATGGGCATATCTGTCTGAAAAGTAGTAAAAACATTAGGAGTCTTTTTCTTCGTGACCGTTTGAAAACAGTCACAGTCTCGGGTATGACGTGTTAAATCCGAGGATTGTTGGTTCTCCACACTGTCGGGTTTGCATAACAGCTACGGTATCTTCGACTCTTCGAGTTGTTGCTGGAATAGTGATTGAGGTTCCCAAACTTGGGTTTCACTTGGAGATGATTGTTTTGTGTTGAGCTCAGGATGCCGACTTAGTCGCTTATTATCCTACTTCTCCCCTGCTTTATTTTGCTCTTAAACTTATCCTTTGTAGACATACTTCATCCTTCATCCTTCACAAGCCTATAAAAAAACGCCCATAAGAACAAACCTCACCATCTTATTAAAGATGAACGAATCTCTTATCCAAGCTACATACAGGATCCAATCTCTCTTCCAAACTCCCCTCTATAACTATGTTGATCTTTCAAGTCGTCGTCTGATTTCCTATGTTGTGTTCTCGCACTCTGGAGCGGTGAGAAAGGAGAGTAATCTAAACCCTGCGACGGAAGTGGAGTTGAAGGGGGAGTTGAAGGACGAGTTGAAGAGATTGGGTGAGGGGTTTATTGATGAGGTTATTAGGTTGAGGGGGGGATTAGAATGAGAGTGCCTTGAAGGAGAGTGATAAGGAGGATGTGAAGGAGGTGGTGGGCGAGAAAGTGGGTGTGAAGGATGGAGTAGGTGAACTGCATCCGAGTGATGGGTCAAGAGTGCGAGACTGTTGTTCGCTGTGCATAAGAATTAGGTTTGAGCTCAAATCTCCATCGCGGTTGGAGCTGGAATGGCGTAGTTCGGGGGCTATTAGTATTCGACATTTCGAGAAGGAGGAGGAAGACTGCGGTAGAGAGATAAAGAGTAGACTGAAATCTATGTGCTCTTTTACGGAAAAGGTGAGGTTAAATCCTAATAAAGATGATGTGATTGGCAAGACAATCTTGGGAGATATCTGGCCGGATTTGGATGGAGATTTTGCATATCTTGGCCTTGGGGATTCTGTCCAAGTTAAGCGAGAGGGAAAAGTATCACCTCCCTCAGCTGCGATGGATAAACCTCTATATATCCGCAAGAACTTCGAAAACGACATCACAAAGGGAATCTGTGCTTTTTAAGACTATGGATGTCTTCCGGGGACGCCAGCACGAGAAAAAAGACTTGAAATCCCAGCCTTCGAATCAGTGGAAATATCGCCTTCTATATAGCCAAAAGATCCAGATTTCGCTAGATTACCCCGAAAGACCAAAAGAGTGTTGATAATTCATTCTCTGGTGAGATCTACAAGGTCGATTATCCAAGCGGGTAGACAGAAGAGAATGAGGCTTATGGAAAGACGTAAGGTTGGGATCGTATGAGGTGAGGGCTTGGTTTGATTTGAATAGATGGAGAGAGGTGCTTGGTTCTTGAAGAATTGAAAGACGACTTCTCGCAATAGTTATAATATTTCTATTATAACTTGATCATAGAACTTTCAACTTCTTGCGATAGCTATAATATTTCTATTATAACTTGATCGTAGCTCTATGAATACTTAGAAGTACTATCCCTTCGTTCGTATCTACTTAGATACGAGTAGGTAGAATGCTTGAATAGGTTAACCTTAGTACACTAGCTTATTAAACCAGTAGAATACTGCTAAGTAAACCTAATTTGGCGTTCTACCTACTAGTATCTCAGAAGCTACGAACAAAGGGATAGGTTCGTAGAATACACCGTGTTTAGGTATTAGGTTATATCCCTAAGTATGTTTCTAAACCTTCTCAACCCTTGCTATTTTTATCTCTTCTATTTTTTCTCTCTCTGTCTCCCTCCTCATAGCAAGTATATAGTTCTAGGGGTAAGTAGTGATGAATACTTATAGATAAGTAAGAAAACATGTGTATGAATTACAGACTTTTATGCTTACTTTAGTAACCGATTTTGGACACTTGGGTTTCTACTTATCATGACATTTTGTCTACAGTATAATGTATATACTTTTCTTTTGTCTTTCAAGGGTTGCGGGGGTTGTCTATGCTTAATGAACCGGTGCTCCCTACAGCTATAGACGGGATATACGGACAATCTCGCATCGAATCGAATAATGGATCGAAGGAGAAAGCACGAGTAAGGTAAAGTATTTATTGAGCAACATCAACGTAAGTGCCCTAAGTTCTGGAGTCTTTCTTGGCGTATGCTGCTCCCCCTGGTGCGACGAGCACTACGACATCGACTGGGAATGTGAACGAGGGATCGGAGAGGTTCAATTCAAGTTGTACGCTCTCGCTTATCTGGAGTCTCTCTACTAGGATCTTCTAGGAGATGGATTCTCCCTCCTAAGGATATCGGGAAAATATGCAAAGAACTCAAGTTGAACGCAATTTGATGTATTGGTAATTCTGCTGGACATTAAATATTGTTGTTTCTTTGTCGGTGGATACTTCATCATTACTTCGTCATTAGAGTTGCGGGAGAATCGGATGTTTATTCTACTCCAAGAAACCCAAACCCGAAAGTCCGGACCAAAAAGGACCGTTTGCGACAAATATACCTTGCTTGACTTTATTACTTCGAAGAACTTTATATTTAATGCGCCAATAGAGGTGGATTGAATGGTCAACTTGGCTTAAAATCATCAGGTTAGTATACCAGAACCCACCTGAACTGAGATAGAAAAGTCCAGTTACGACTGAGCGTGACCGCATAAATACATTATATGCTTTATTTGGTGTATCTTGCCGGGGACGAGGCGGTACTCTGTTCACCTGAACAAAACGTATTTTCTTTGGTGGCAGCAGATAATGATTGTAGGTAGAATGTCATCTAATAAGCTACTTTGCCTCAAAGAACATCCGGTATTTACTTAGTATTACAAATAACCACTGTCTGTTCCAAGTCTGACGCTTTGACCGTGGCACATACAAAAAGAAGCCGTTGAACCAGGGCGGGGGAGGATTCTTTCAGCGTTCATGCAAGGTTATGACGACAGCGGAGTGGGATGGACCCTGAACGGGTCTGTGGGGAGTGCGAGGTACAAATCATATTGCGAGTAATGTAGCGAGTGCTAGTGAAGTAAATGCGAGTAGTTACTCCTTCTCCTTAGGCATATAAGCATTGGGTATGCCACACTGCTCGCCTTTTCAGGATCAGCCGTATTCTCTTCCACGTACGCAAACACATTTACCTATCAAAAACCATCTCAACATAAACACCATGAAGTTATTCGTGACCCTTCCAATAGTCCTATTATTCACGGGTTTTGCTTACGCCGACGATGGATGTTCAGGCTTGCCTCTAGGCTTTTGCAAGGTAAGCAATACCAAAGATATAGCTACTACAAACAATGGCTAACAATAGACAAACAGGGAAAGAAAGGAAGACCCAATGGCGTTAGGGTAAGTAGCGACAGACCCTAAGGTTCCCTAATTGAAAATGATCAACTAACACTCCTCAGTGCTCAAGTCAAAATAACGCCCCAGGTGGCAACTTCAAAGGTTGCTCGCTTATAGAGCAAGACCCTAAAACTAAGGATAACAAGTGGTGTGTAAGTATACATCTGAACTTGCCGCAAAATATAACATGGGATTAACGAGCCTTAGTGTGATACGTTTGGTAATTTATAAGTTCAAGAATGTTCAAGATTTCAGCAGAAGGCTACTTCAGCCTATTGGGTACTCCTTGGGAGGTTGAGTCTAAGATATTGTGAAGCCTCTGAACACAACTCTGGTTGTGTTTTTTGTTGCATGTTGTTGCAATGAAGAGTGTGTATGAGTATAACGGTAGCTGGGATTATCATTGAGTTCAACTCCGTTCTCTCAGGTCTCGTGTTGCAAAGTTTGAAGGTCGATGGTGAAGTTTTAATTTGGAAGTGGAGGTAATTATTGTAAATTTTATGTTCATTCGTCAGACGTCACACGTCATATTAAATGAGGCTTGTTGTTGGTTTGATTTTGTATTGCTGGCTAGCTTCAAGTGCTTATAATTCGCCCATATAATAAGTGGAAAGCGAGGTATAAGCACCCTCAGCCGTATTGAGTAGCGCGAAAGGAAGTAGCCACAAAACAAAACAAAACAAGGGAAAAGGGGAAAGGGGAAAACCAAGAATAAGACGAAAAAAAGAAATAAGGAAGAACTATCCTTATAAAACTTTCCTAGCGAGTAGGCATATCCAGCGTCTGATCTATACCGCCTAAATCTGTACCGCCTGAATCTTGCCCTGCAAATATCCACCACTCTCACATTTGTGTAACAAGCATGGGAAACCCTCTTTTTAGGCTAAAACCACACCTAGAGAGCCCTCCTTGCCTAGCCAATACACCTGACATTCCGACCTACATCTGCTATACCGACTCTAGAGTGCGTCGGTAGTTTAGGATCGAGCTCAAAAAAGGAGTGAAAATTGAGCGTTTGTTCCAGTACTACCACTATCCTTACACCTATATATCGTACTTGTTGGATTTTAGGAATCGTATCAGGACCAAATAAAGAACACAAGAGCACAAAAGAGTCGCAATAGTGTAGCTAACGATATGGTAGATATGGTGGTAGTGTAGAAGGAATGTAGCCAGTAGTGGGGTGGGATATATATCCTACCATACAGTAGCTTACTAAGCACCATCCTCATCTACCATAAATCCTGCTAAAAAAAACACTACCCGCTAAGAAGGAAAATTATCCTTAAGTTGTATTATTATTCTTCCTCCTCATCGAACCTCTCATCCAAACACTCAAACTTGAGCATTGTCCTCGCCACTTTGACCTCCCCCAATCATTCTCTGAATCCCTCCCTCAGCGTATCCCTAGATCCTTCATTTTTCCCACTTATCAACCTCTCGAGTCATGTTGAGCTTTTCGCTCGCTTTCATGGTTTCTGTTTAAGCAAATACAGTTGAAGATAAGGGCAACAATGACTAGAACAAGAGATTTTTCGGCGACTCGGCGAGTATACTGATGATGGTGTGTGAGATGAGATTTTCTCCATTATCGAACTTTTTTTGGATGGTGATTACTCTGTAGGATTCACTCTTGCAGATGGTATTTGGAAAGAGATAGCTTATATACTTTGTTTGTTTTGGTAGTCTTTGAGAGCCACAGAGACGTTAGGATGACTACTTTTTGGCATATATATTTTGTTTTGTAATCATGATCTCGGACAAAGTTTGAGTGAAAGATGGCATCGGTCTAATTCCATTTAGAAACCTAAGTGGTTCTATTAGACTCAATTAACAATTCAGTAAGAGAACTGTAGTAACTACCATCATCAATTGAACTTCCAACTTCCTTGAATACAATCCATCGTCGCCGATACTTGGTCTTATAAGATTCGTTCAATTACCGAATAGTATCTCCTCGTCGCGTTATATGCACATTTCAGTTTTTAGGTTGGCGATACCCACTCTAAGTCTTGGTGCCCAAGAATAGTATAACCTAATTGGTGCGGAGCATATCGGACCAAGCCCCGTAGTAGGTCTAGGCATTATTCCGACCGGTCCGACCGCTTAAATAGGAAATCGAAAACTCAAAAATTAAAATATACATATAACCTAACCCGACGAGGAGATAAATATATACAAATACGCCCCCGCACTTTATTGTAACTGAAAATCATTATATCACAAAATCTTCAACGTCTCTTATCAAACCATCCGCACGATCAACGACATATTAACACAATCAAGAGTTGAAGAATCAAAGCAGGCTACCAACTCACACAACAATACCATGCACATCATAATACCCAACGGTGGGAACCCATCCTCTTAAGGTCCCCCTTCCTCAGCACCACGAACCTGCCAACTGCCATAGCACACCATCCCACTACACAACCACGTAGTTGCCATTCTCATAGCCATTCTAGTGATATCCTCACTTCTTCTTATGGATACAAAACTACAGGGAATCAGACATGTTTATACGCCTAGAAAAATGCGTAGTTGGGATCCTTATCGCTACCCACTTTGTCGCCCTCTTCGCAGGATCACTCCACTACTACGCACCGTAGGTTCCTGCACTTAGAATACGAAATTAGATTTGAAGGAAATGAGGGGTTGAGAGAGTAAATACTGGAATCTTACTTCGTACTTCTTCTACGTTAGTGGGTGGATGTAGCCTGAGCCCAAGGGGCATACATGTACTAGAGTGATTTTGCCGCGGGTTTTTTATAATATGAACAGCGTTTGTTAGTGTATATATTAAATAAGTTTACAGCTTTTGTCGTTGTTTTGTAACCTCGACTTATAAACGATTTATCACAAAATAAGCTATAGGATTTATATCATATCTTTAATATAACAAGAATTTAAATCTAATTTGAATGCGAGGTATCTGTTCAAATGCAAATCTATATACAAGATGCCTAAATATATGGCACGGTTACTAAAAACACTTAAATCGATTATAATATATGGGTTTTTATAGAATTAATTCTTTTATATATAACAACACTCGGTCCCCTCCTGTCTCAACAAGTTATAATAGTGTTTCTAGCACGGATTTTGTCCACTTCTTGGAAGGTGCTCTCGGACGTTTATAACTAAAAATATCCGTGGCAAAATCACTCTACTAGGAATATTGCAGACTTCCTTCGGGTCACTTGGTATTTATAGAGTGATTTGGCAACCGAACTTCGATGTTAGTGGTTAAGCTTTTTAGCGTACAAGTACTAAGGTTTATAATTTTATAAGAGGTTTGGTAAGCCGGTTTTAGTAGCGAGTCAGTATTAAATAAAAAGCACGTAAGAACAGTTTCTAATATAGATATAAATAGGAGTCTTACTAGAACACAAACACTTATATTACGTATACTAGGCTCAATTAGGGACCAAAAAGTAGGATAGCTTGTAGATTAACTTTTGTTAGTACTAATAAGGGTTAAGGCCTTATTTAACTTTTAGTAGTGGCAACACTTTAGGTAGGTTTTCAACAACTTTTTAGTACGAACCTACCCTCATAATCGCCACTAAAAAGTGGTTACCAAATTAACCTAATAGAAGTCAAATCATGAGTCATATCCAAGTTCTTTCTGGACGTCTATCAGGGTGAAAGAGTTTGCTACTGATACAGAGGAATGATGCTTTGCCTCGCTTAACCCTTGTGTATCGGTTAGACCGATAAGAATCAATAAATCTGGTTCATGATCTGGGGAAGCCACCTACCCTAGTATACCAGTATAAGCATAGCATAAGAAGACTCCTCCTATACAGTTTGATACTTTAGCCATACAGTTTGATAACTAACCTATTTAGGAAGTCAAGGCGCTCCGAGTATTCTACCTATTAGGGTACTCATAATACTAAAGTAACTTTATTAAGTTAGGCGGGTTAGGATTAGGGTTAGGACTAGGGGCCTAGGTTAGCGGAACATGAACCCCTACTACCTACGATATCAAGATCTTACCTACCCCCGTAGGTTAGGGGGTTTAGGTTAGGCACCTAATTAGCTATTAGACTATATAGCTAAAGTATCAAACTATATAGCTAAAGTGTCAAACTATATAGCCACAGTGTCAAACTATATAGCCAAAGTGTTAAACTGTATAGGAAGACTCCATAGGAAGATCTAGGTCAAGTATCCTATGATAACCAGTCGGCTAAATTCTGGTTTATCGGTCGTTGCGTAAGAACAATACTTTGTGATGTTATCAGGGGGATGCTCACTTATTTGGATCACAAGCTATGCTATCAATTTGCCTCTGCTTCCTCTGGGAACTGGAATAAAATAAAACTGCTAGCTTTAGTCGGTAATCCAACGAGGTAGAAGCAATCACTGCCCAGGCCAAAAAATAGGAGGTGCGAATACGAAGTTGCGAAGCAAAGCGTAAGATCTTGCGTAGTGGTGATCAAGGATTAACATTACTTGTACTTCATGAAGCAACTCAAATACATATTTTAACGCCACGATGAGTTATCGTGTCTAGGATGCCTCTGGTATCATGCATAACATACCACGAAATACCTCGCCGGTCGGATTCCTGGACATCCCTTCGTAAATGTATCAGTTCTTATGCTTTACCGAAGTCGGTTCGGGGTACCTCGTAAATGGCAACGCTCCTCCGAACTAGGTTCACACGGTATGATCCAAGCATTCCAACGGCCTGAATGGCGAGAACCCTAATGGTTAGCGTAGTGTCACGAATCGTGTTATGCTTAATTAATCAGACCGAGATCACAGCCAGCGCACCACCTGTATCTCAACTTATCTTGTCCAGCGGGTATTTTGTGCTGCAAAACGTCGACGGGATTGTAGGATCCCAATTCCGAATAGAAGGGCCCAGACGTACGGTGCGTAGCACTTTAAATAGGTTCAGTGTTACGATGTTTACTCGGACAGGATAGATTTGATGTTGTAACTTTGTTTTGTCAGGTGACCGCTTGACGAGTCCCTGCCAATCAGGAGCCAGGACAGGGCCAAGGATCACCTATACTCACTTATTTCACCTGGAAATCATATAGTTTAGAATTATCCTCAATAATTAACAACACTTGACTTATTCCGTAACATTCAGTTCACGAGGTACCCCACACTGCAGAATAATTAAGCTTTTACTATTTGAAACTGACATGGCCTTAAGGTTTCTGCAGGGACGATGTCAAATTGATATAAGCAGAACTTTGCCCAACTTTCCAAGCTCTTGATTCGAGACAGCCTAGAAAGTTAAAGGCAAAACCCGTGATTCCGGATTTTTAGACTTCAACCTCGCTGTCTATGCAAACATCATACCTTTGAGGATTTGCTCACGCGTTGACGCCTGGTCCTTCAGACATTTCGCAGTATTCATGTATGAAGTATGGTACTTAAGGTGTGTTATCGAAACCTTTGGATGGCCCTTTCAAGCCAAGGGGAAGTTCATCATGGTGAAATGAACTGTATACAGTCTTCTACTTTGTGTCAACCCGGTTTCCTAGAGTCGCGACAGCAAAGTTGTACCTTGGGAATCTGTAAGAGACGCCAGAATCATAGGACAAAGGGTGGGGGGCGTGTTGATAGCGCTAAGATTTGTCTATAGGCTCCGAGTGGCTAGAAGTCTGCGGCAAAGGCCTTCTAGGTCCTTATGCGGAATAAATAGAAGAACTTTTTTGCCTACTGACAGGGACTTGTAAAAGGTTGATATCTGAGTGGCCCAAAAGTGATATTCCCGACTTCTGCTACAGGCGAAAGTCGATATGGATATGCATGGATGGGAACATCCCGAGGATATACTTCAAAGTAAACGAGTATATTCTTGTGTTGAGTTTCTTTGCCTTGGCGACGGCAAATTGGTATCTTGGAATATAAGGAATAGACGATACAGAATTTATATGAGGTTAGTACTATACTCACATGCTCTCATCTCTTGTTACTACTATATCTTAGTTTTATCCAACAAATGTCAGGTTTTGACTAAGAGTCTTACTAGATTACCGATATTGGTAGGAATTTGGTATCGTCTACAGAAAGAGTGTTGATTTAAAACGTGATTTGATCGCTAATGTACTAAGTGTCCCGAAGAACGTTTGCAAACTGCTCATTTTCATGACATATAAACCTTCTAAGTCTGAGGTTCACATTCCCCACCTTTACTGTAAGAATAAAAGTGAGGATAGAAGTATTTGTAGTACGCAGATAGTTTAGTGGTCCAAGAAAACTAAGAATATTCTTAGTTGTGCGGATATGGAGTTACTCTTAAATACTACCATCAAAGTGTGGGACCTAAAAGTTACAGAGTTAAAAGTTAAAGATACAACCGATCGTATCTTTTTAGCGAGAACCCTACCTAATATCGGGTTACGCCTAAACTCTTTAGCACAAGGTACCGAGGACACACCCAGTTTTCTTGGAGACGATTTATTACGGCAGGGCATCGGCAGTATCGCACTCGAATTGGTCTGGAAAGAAATGCTGCATACATGGAACTAGCAGACGTTTTCCGAGTTCTAGCCCATAGATACGACATAAGAGTTGTCTCCGGAGAGAATCGGAGGCGACAATTCTTCGAGTCTTCTGCGATTTACTATCTGTAACACAGTTACTTCGTATTATGAAAGGATATTTTTTTCTCGGTCCTTTTTTGAACGGAGAGCATTACCCTGAGGGTAAAGGGCTTGGACGAAGTGATGACGTGAATAATAGGCCCTGTAATCTTGAACCAGATGGGAGGCTCCATCTATCCTAGACCTCGGGACTCGTACTTTGTCCCAGGCGAGATAATTTTAAGACTTTGAGGGGTTTTTACCCTGTTGCTACCCTCAGCGACCCTCGGGAAGTTACAATTTTTTCGCTTGAGACGAAGTAAAAGGTTGTCTGGGCACATTGGATGACACAAACATCAAGAGCAATATTTGGGGTTTCCCAGTAGTGCATCTCAGACAGAGAGATTTGCTAGCAGAAGGAATGAGGACTATATATACATCGGCACCCACCACCTTGAACCACATCTTTCTTCATTATACATCAGAGATTTGCTATCAAGCCTCACTCCTCACCCGAAATTAAACCAACAACCAAAAACCAACCCAAAATGCTTTTCAAATCATCCCTCCTCGCTGCTGCGATGATGTTTGCCGGCCAAGCATCTGCCGCATTTATATTCTGCCCCGGCAGCCCGAAGTCCATTCCTTGAAAAAGCATGTCTAGTCGAAACAGGAAAAGAAGTAACCGTAACTTTGGAGCTCCATTCCTGTTGCAAGGATATATAATCTCTGCATACCAATTGCCCTATACTAAATTTATTCTTTGTAGTGTCAAAATGTCGATGGGAACTGCCGACCAAATTGCTTCGCGGGCACGAACTTCGGTATAAGGGCTGTTTACTGCAAAAAAGGAGACACCGTCAATATGTTTTGCTTCAAGAAATAAGGGAGAACTGCTAGATAAGCCGGCCGATTTTAGGACAGAGGGGATAACATTTGGAACTTGTAATTCATGTACTTTTAAGCGGTTTGTGCTGGTCCTTTTAGGGCACTGGAGCGAACTAGCGGACACAAGATGAGAACTTCTTGCCTCTAACCTTTTCTATAGAGTTGCTTGTAGTCCAATGAACAAGAACATGCTATAATGTACTTCGTCCCTAGCGTAAAAGTCGTTGAAGCTTATTGAGATATTTACTCTGTATTTTACTGAGAAGTCATACGTAAATCTACCAAATTTTAGTGTTTGTTATGCCTAGGACACAGTAATCTAAGAAAAGTATTCTATTAATATAGCAAGTAGAATACTTAATCAGCTTCTATATTTTCAAGCAGACAGAGATGGTTTTTCTAGAAATTTAGTAAGTTATAACACAATCTCTCGTCTCCAGTTAACTGTTTCAACCATTCGGACTTCAGCTACAGGTACTTTCCAACTTGCAGAAGTAGTTAAATTTAGGGAATACTCGCGTATAGGTAGTTGCTAGTCGCGTCAGTTTCGAAGCAGAAGATCTGAAGAATAGCCAGCCACTCACGTATACTAGAGGGCACATGAATTTAATTTTATCATGAATCCACCAAAACTAAATTTAAGAAACTTAATTTGTTTACAGTGCTAGTTCACTGCTTCGCTTATTATCCAAAGCTGACCACGTTGGACATTTGGCGAGTAAGGGGATGCAAAGAGGCCAGCGAATTTCAAATGAATTCACCCACCCCTACCCAAGATCTAAAGTCTCTCACGTAGAAATCAAGCATTCTACTTTTTAACTCTGGCAGATGTAGCTCTGCGGAGAGAGGGGGGCTCTTCAATGCGGGGTACAGTAATTTACCTACAAATACCCGGCGGATTACGTTTGGGTGTCATCGCCATTGAAACCATCTATGCAGCCACGATGACTGTTCGTTCATACATACGGAACTTCCGGATTCAAAGATAAAGAATGAAAAAAAAAAATCCTCCCTCGTGGGCTGTCTTGGAAAATATAGCCAGTCATCAAGCCGACATCGGCATGTTTCCGAGAGCTCGGCGATGTCGTGCTGAGTGGGACCCATAGCTTCCAATACCTACATAGGTACCACCGGTACCTACCAGGTAGAGCTCCCCAATCACTCCACGGCAATCAACACAACCCAACCTAACCAACAACCCATATCTCTACTTCTAGATTCAAGATCTGACTCCTCATATATGCCACCATAGTACACACAAAGACGGTTCTTTCAAAGAATCGGTCGCCTCCAAATCCCTCGACAGCAATGTCATCCTCCCAGACTCCCCTGCTCGCCAACGACGACTCATCCTCATTGCTCTCTTCCCACTCCTCGAATGCCTCTCGAGAACGAAACAAGAAGCGAAATGTCAGACGATATGTTGCCTTTGCTTCTGCCATATTGTCCTGTCTCTGCGCAGGCTCCATAACTACATACTCTCTGTATGGCCATCTATTCCAGGAACGATTGCGGTACACGCAACTCCAAGTGAACATAGTCATCATCGCTGCGGAATTGGCTTTATATCTCCCGGTTTCGTTATTGGGCTATCTATGCGATAGAATTGGGCCGGCACCTCTTTCGTTGATGGCCTCTACTCTGTTTGGGCTTGGATATCTGCTGGCAGCTTTCACGTACGAGAGTGGTGCGAAGGATGTTATGGGTTATACGCATGAGAGGGGCTGGCCGCTCTGGGTTATGGTTGTTGCGTTTGTTATCATTGGATTGGGGACGACCTGCATGTACCTCAGTGCCGTTACGACATGTGCTAAAAACTTTGGGAAAAGTAAATATAGAGGGATCGCGCTGGCATTGCCAATTGCTGCTTTTGGATTGAGTGGGATGTGGCAGTCGCAATTCGGAGCCCGAGTGTTATTCGAAAAGACTTTGGATGGGAGGAGAGGGGATGTGGATGTCTTCAAGTACTTCGTATTTTTGGCGTGTACATTGGTGGCCGTGGGCCTGGTGGGATCGGTTTTCTTACAGGTTGTAGATGAGGATGAATTAATTGATGAGGCCGTCGAAGAGTTGGAGCGGAGTGGATTATTGGAAGATAGTGAATTCTTTAGGAGGGGTGCTAGCACTTATGGGACAATCAGTGATAATTCCGATGAGGAGGTTGCGAATGCGAGACGAATACAAGAAGCAAAAGACCAGGAGGATGAAGAGGCCCGAAAGAAGACTTGGCTATTGAATGAGGAAACTTCCCGGTTTTTGAAAGACAAAACTATGTGGTTTCTCGCGGCTGGCTTCTTTTTCGTTTCTGGTAAGTTGCAATTATCTCGGTCACTGTTTTCAATGCTGACACTTTCAAGGGCCCGGAGAAGCTTTCCTAACAAATCTGGGTACTATCATTGGTACCCTATACCCTCCATCAAACAACACGGAAATTCCAACAACAGCGGCTACACATGTTTCCATCGTTGCTATCACATCAACTGTTGCCCGCATCCTTTTCGGTACACTCACTGACGTTTTCGCCCCTGCATCAACCGGCAATCAGTCCATATCAAATTCCATATCCTCACTTCCACCTCGATCATCCGGTTTTGCCATCTCTCGCGTCGCTTTCCTAATTCTCACTGCTCTTCTACTTTCCCTTGGCCAAGTAATTCTAGCTTCCGGGTGGATCCAAAACCACGGTGAACGATTCTGGATTGTATCCACCCTCATCGGAACCGGTTACGGTGCCATTTTCTCGCTCACCCCACTCATTATCACTGTAATTTGGGGTGTTGAGAATTTTGGCACCAACTGGGGAATTGTGGCTATGGTACCAGCATTTGGAGCTTCGGTATGGGGTATTGTTTACTCCAATGTCTATCAATGGGCAGCCAAACAGCAAGCTTTGAGAGCTGATGGAGAGGAAGAAACATTATGCTATGGAAAGTCCTGTTATTCGGGAAGTTTCTGGGCGATGGCGGTTAGTGTTTGGATTGGATGTGCGCTCTGGGTGTGGGCGTGGAAGGGGAGAGGTGGCTGGAGTCAGAGGGGTGTTGCTGTTTAGATGTACCGGCCAGGTTCTTTTGTGTCGTTCATTATTGGCGTTTTTGGGAGTGAGAATGAGGCTTAAACTGGGTGTATATAAGTTGAGTCTTCACTGGCATAGTTTGCATAGTGCTACGGTTCGAATCTGCGAGCGTTTTTTTTTTCTGGTTTGATTGTTTGTATACCTCTCTATAGCGGTCTTAATTCTAATAAAACAATAAATGGAAACGATCACTTCAAAATTTGGGTTGATTGTGTGACGTCAACTTAAGAACGATTGATGAGGTTTTCAGAAGCAATTCCAATGGTTTAAAGTTAATTCTACAGCCAGACATACACGGGAGGGGCAAGTCCATACTATACGCCCAGACTTCAAATTGCCTGGTTGAATGAGGATCAAAATTTGTATCGAAGTCTGGCTCCGAACACCAACACGCAATTTGAAAGATTCAGATCATGAAGAGGATGAATTTGAGGCACATCGAGAGGGAGGCAAATCCCACTAGGGGTTGAAACAGTCGCATCGTATTATGAGGCGCGGAAGCGGTAGAAGCTCCAAAAGTCTTGGCTCCATACAATGGCTCTCAGTCGGAACACTACCAACCAAAGTTGTTGCTTGTTGTCACTTTCGACATGACAGCAGCTTATTTATGCACCTCACCGTGGCATCGGATCGGATTAGAGAGCCTGGTATCTCATTGCCAACCTTCACATTGACACGTACAGAAACTCTGATGCTTTTCTCCTTCAAAATCCACTTTGAAGAGGTTATAACCTAATACCGACTGCCCCGTTTTTACCCCAGATTTGCCGGCTCAGGTACGGTACGGTACCTTATCCATACGAACCGCCGTACCATCACCATGGAGCGAGCTAAGGAGGCTTACGTCGACCACCAAATCGAGATGGATCGCGAGAAAGAGGCAGGTGAAAGCCGAGAGGGGCTACTACAATCCTACAATCGAGATGAGAGCGAACCATCACAAAAATCGAACGAGGGTGCCTACGAATCCGACAGCGGCTCTGATCTCGATGCTACCGAATACCTTGACCGAGAGCTGGATGATGACCATTCACACCCAGCGACCAATGCATACAGTACAACTGATTCCCTCCGGTCCCTTCGAAGGACTTTGGCTCGCCGATCGAAATGTCTCATCATTGTTCTCTCGGTCTTGATTATCTTCTGGTCGATACTTGCTGCTGGAGGGTTCTTTTTATATAAGCAGCAGCCTGCAGATGGCCAATCCCCTCCATGGTATCCAACTCCCCCGGGAGGAACTGTCAAGCAATGGAGTGAGAGTTATAAGAAGGCCGCGGAAATGGTGAAGAAGATGACCTTGGCCGAGAAGGTGAATATTACAACAGGAACTGGATGGCAGATGGGATTGGCTGTGGGCAATACTGGACCTGCAAATAATGTTGGATTCCCTGGGCTGGCATTACAGGATGGACCTCTCGGATTGAGATTTGCGGATGATGCTACGGCATTTCCAGCTGGAATTACGGTTGGAGCAACTTGGAATAAGGAATTGATGTACTTGAGGGGAAAGGCACATGGACAGGAAGCACGTCTCAAGGGAATCAATGTCTTGCTTGGACCATGCGTGGGACCATTAGGACGAATGCCCGCCGGAGGTCGGAATTGGGAAGGGTTTGGAACCGACCCCTACCTGCAGGGAATTGCTGCTGCCCAAACGATTAAAGGAATTCAGGAAGAGGGTGTGATTGCCACCATTAAGCACTTCATTGGAAACGAGCAAGAGCATTTCAGACAAAGCTGGGAATGGGGTCTTCCAAACGCCATGTCCTCAAACATCGATGATAGAACTCTTCATGAGATGTACGGATGGCCATTTCAAGATGCGGTTAAAGCTGGAGTTGCCAGTGTTATGTGCAGCTATCAGATGACTAACAACTCCTATTCATGTGGAAACTCGAAGCTACTAAATGGTATTCTGAAGGACGAATTGGGATTCCAGGGTTTTGTTCAATCGGATTGGCTGGCTCAAAGATCTGGAGTTGGAAGTGCTTTGGCCGGGTTGGATATGTCTATGCCAGGAGATGGGTTGAGATGGCAGGATGGAAAGTCGCTTTGGGGACCTGAATTAAGCAGATCAGTTCTCAACGCTTCTTTGCCTTTGACGAGACTCAACGACATGGTTACCAGAATTGTTGCGGCATGGTACCAGCTTGGGCAGGACGACGAGACTAAATTCGATCGCAAAGGGCCCAACTTCTCATCATGGACCAGTGACCCAATGGGACTGATCAATCCAGGAAGCCCGGATGATAAAGATATGAAAGTGGTAAATAAATACGTCAATGTTCGAGGGGAGGGTGACAAGGCACATTCTATCATTGCTCGCGACGTTGCTACGGAGGGCACAGTACTGGTCAAGAACGAAGGCAAAATTCTACCTATCAGCAAGGATGGATGGCCCTCAAGCGAGAACCGCAAGATTAACATGCGCATTGGTATCTTTGGCGAAGACTCTGGAGAAGGCAATGGACCAAATTCTTGTCCCGACAGAGGTTGCAATCAAGGTACACTCGGTTCAGGTTGGGGCTCTGGCTCTGTAGAATTTCCATACCTCGTTACGCCAGCAGCTGCCCTGAAAGCTGCCTTCAACAAGGACTTAGTCCACGTAACGGATTTCCCCTCAAACTCTCCTCCCCTAAAGAAAACTCCTGTGATTTTGAAGGAGCAGGATATCTGTATTGTTTTTGTCAACTCTGATTCTGGAGAAGGTTACATTCATGACGCTGGCGTCAACGGTGGTATGTTTTTCTTCTTTTCTTGGCATGTAGTGGAGGGAGAATGGATGTGTGCTGACTTCTTTGACAGATAGAAATGACTTGAATCTGCAAAAAAATGGTGATATTCTAATCAAGGACGTTGCTGCTGGGTGTGGCGATGGCAAAGGAAGTACCGTTGTCGTAGTTCATTCAGTGGGACCGGTTGTTGTAGACAAATGGGTGAACCTACCAGGTATCAAAGCAGTATTGATGGCCAATCTACCAGGACAAGAAAGCGGTAATGCCATTGCCGATATAATCGTGGGAAAAGTTAACCCAAGTGGAAAACTTCCTTACACAATTGGCAAATCACTCGAGGACTATGGACCTGGAGCCAGGATTCTGTATTTTCCCAATGGTGTGATCCCGCAACAGGATTTCAAAGAGGGTTTATACATCGATTATCGACATTTTGACAAGTTTGGCGTTGAGCCTACATACGAGTTCGGATATGGTATGTCATATACCATCTTTGAGTTCTCCAATCTCGTAGTCACGCCAGTATTGGAAAAGTCACCACTTCCCTCGCCTCGACCAAGTGGCATTCCACCGCCCAACTATGATCAAGAATTTCCCGATGTTAGTGAAGTACTGTGGCCAGCAAACTTTCGCATTCTGCAGAAGTTTATCTACCCCTATCTCGACAAAGAAGAAGTGATCGAGGAAGGGATAGGAAGCTATCCATACCCCGATGGTTACGATATTGAACAAACTCCATCTCAAGCTGGCGGCGACGAAGGCGGTAATCCAGGTAATTTCTTCCATCCCTTCAACGTACTCTCCACTAATAAACTACTAGATTTATGGAATATATACGCCTCCGTCTCTGTTAAACTCACCAATACTGGCTCTATAGTTGGGAAAGAAGTCGCTCAACTCTACCTCTCCTTCTCCGACGTAGGAGGCGAAGCGGCCAAAGTTGACTTTCCAGTCCGCGTTCTTCGGGGATTCGAAAAGATCCACCTTGAACCGAACGAGACGCAGACCGTGAACTTCAATCTCACACGCAGAGATTTGAGTTATTGGGATGTGGTGAGGCAGAATTGGGTCATGCCGACGGAGGGGAAAATCACGATTCGAGTCGGTGCTAGTTCGAGGGATCTTAAGTTAACAGGTTGGTATTAGGGTATTGATTTCGGGATGGAGTTTGGTGTTCAGATTTGGCTTTGGGTTAGCGCGGTTAAGACTTATTAGATGATAAGATCTCAGAGGGGTGGGTGGGATGGAATGGGATACATCATACAGGACGTGATACATACGATCTCTTGTTTTAAGGCAGAAGGCGTTATACATTTTTTTATATGAAAGGGTTAGCAGATATAAATTAGCCCGTAAGATCTATCTTTATATTGCTCTTTCGGAATTTGATATCCTTGATCTGAGTGAGAAGTGTCGAATTCGGACTCTCCAATATTTTGAAGGACACTCGCGTTCATTGCGGTTCTCTGGACTTTACGAGTACTGTAGTAATTTTACTAAGCTTTTTACATTCACCTTCGTCCTGCTCGGTGCTCAATTTTCACGAGGGAGAAGGGGACACATAAATGGGACCAGCACCTGGGGTTTGGAGAGCCCCAGCCTGGGGTGCCAACACGCACTTTCTATTCCTATTCCTATTGCTTAAAAACAGAAACAAAAAGGCTGGCATTTTGTTATTGCTGTGCCAATAATAAGCTAATAGAAACACTGGTGAACAAATGGGGATGGATGGTGGTGGGCGAGAAATAGAGCTCTAGGGCTCTAGCGTACTGTACACATCCTATTCCAAGGGCAGGATATGTGAAGGTTGTTGAAGATATCTGCTCCCGCCGCTAGCTCTTGTCTGTCCTGACGTGATAGGAAAATATCCCCTTTGCTCAAAAGGGTATAGAGGACCGCGGTGATTTACTGAAGAATAGAGAGTATAGGTGAATCATATCGCAAAGGAGGGGGATTACTAGTTTTTTCGGGGGGAGATTGAGGATGTTGGGTCTTGACTTGACTGGGAAGAAATACGGGCACGCGGTGGAGAAGATAAAGGCAGTTTTTTGACTTGTGCACTACCGACAGAAACTGTCGCTTAGTGACGGGGTATGGGGTTTTGATAGGGTTTTGGCATGGTTTCGCCTCCTTTTAGGCTCTCGCTTATTTGAGAAATGGAGGGGCGATGAATGATATTCATATGGTTTTTGTGATTTCTATATTCTGTAAACGATAAAAATGCCATCTAATAATCTTTTGGCGACAAAAATACTACTTGTATACCACTCATTCTTTTAATATGGGTTTTACCTATTAATGTAATGAACATATAACTGGTGGCATATTTGTCGGAAAATGGTGGGATTTTTGTCGTAGTAGTTTTTATGTCGTGAAACAGTGGTATTTATATTCACCTTTCTACTAGTAGCGCAATATATAGTGGATTGCTAGCTTATTTGCTAGCGCGGTTCCTTGATTTCAAGGAGCCTCTACTTAGGATGTGGCTCAATAACAAGAAGGCTAGGATGACGGTATTAAGGTACGCACGAGGATATCGCACAGGAATAATAAACAAAATAACGGATATCGCTTAGGAGCAAGCAATTGAGGCTAATAAACTAGGATTTAGACGTAGACGCAAGGGCAGGGAGTACTGGGCTTAACCACTACTAAAGTCGATAGAACAAGCCTACGAGATATTAAGGAAAAAACAAGTAGTTAGCTAATTTATCTTATTAATTGTTTTCTGGATGTCTCGCTTATAAAATCTGATGAAGAAATGAAATCTCTAGACTAATAAAAATACCACCTTTTAGAAATACCCCTATTGTATTTCACGACAAAAATGCCACCCCTTTACGACAAAACTGCCACTGATGATAGAGATATCGCTTCACTAACAATCCTACTAGAAACCCAGTCACGTGGTACAGAGGTAGTACTTTTATCGTTTACCGTTCTATATTTATGTGACTTAAGACATTTCTGAAAGATAATAGACAGGATTGTTTTTCAAATATTTGGCATCTCAGTTTATATTGTTTCACAATTCCCGTTAATAACCCCCACAACTACCCTACACTTTCGTAACTCACCACATATATCCCATCAGAACGCAATACAAGAAAGACAGACAGGTCACAAAAATGAATACGCCGAAGAAAAAAACAAAAAGCTCAAGGAAAACTTCCAACTTCCAACTGCAAAAACAAATTATCATGATCCAATGGGACCCAGGCCCGGAGTCTTGAAGTCAGCGGCGGCAGGCCAGTTACCAATCCCCGCCGCATCAGCGACATCTCCTCCGATTCTCACCCATTCCGCCTCACTGGGCGTCGGTCCATCGAGAACAAAGATCATGTACCATCCCGGGGGCGCAACATGTGCAGTGGGAGGCGTGGTAATCGTACAAGTCGCCGCGTTCGCAGCACCCGCACATCCCACCTGGAGAGAGAGCGTACGTTGCCCCATCGAGTTTCCATGCGTAGAAGATACAGCGGCCATCATGGAGACACGGACACCAGCCAGGTTCCCGGATGGGATATTGGCGGTAATCTGGCGGGTGGACCCGTATGACCAGTCTTTGTTGGTGGTTGTGATGGTGTAGCTGGGTTTTGGGAGGTTGTTGAGGATGTAGGGTGGGTTGAAGACTTCGACGCGGTATTCTTCTGGGTGCACGCCGTCTTCGGGGTTGGAGCCTGAGACGAGGACACGTCCGTCGGGGAGGAGCATAGCTTCCGAGTGGTAGAGACGCGCGACGATGGTGCTTGCCATGATGAACATGCGTTGATTCAATGGCTTGGAGGGGTCGTAGAGGATCGCGTTGTAGTTTGGATCTTGGGCGAGGCCGAAGCCGGCAACTCCTTCTTGGGCACCGTTGAGGATCAGGTAGGTTCCATCGGGGAGAGCGCAGATGCAAGACATCACTCGTTGGGAAGGCATACGTTCCAAATTCCAGGTGGGTGTGGCGTCTTCAGGTTGTGTTGAGACGCAGTTGTCAACTGCGTATGCGGCTCCATTGGCTGATCCACCGCAGATCAAGACAACTACTGGAGCTGTGAAAGGAGCGTGCATTGGGAGGAGAACTCCAGTACCCTCGAGAGGATATGTTCGGCCAGAGAGGAAATTGTTGACGGAACCAGGCATATTAGGCAGAGTCTTGATAGTATCAAACGTCTTTTCGTCAATGATCCGGGCTTCATTGTAGTAAACAACAAAGATGTTTCCCGTGGGAAGCACAAACATGAATGGGTACAGATTGTCAGGATCAGTTCGATCAAGCCAATCTAGATACTTTGCATATCCTCCAGGTGGCGGTGGAAGGATTTCACAAGATGGCGTAGGTGCCGCATTCGAACCCACTTCTCCACCAAGAATGAGGATAGAGCCGTTGGCCATGTTCATAGCAGATGGGTACCAACGACCCTCCTTAAGCGAGACTTCGTTGACGTTCTCTTGCCAGTCGTTTGTTCCTGCGACACCTGGAGATCCATCAGGCCAGTAGAAACGGACACCGTAAGTTGATGGTCCAGCCCATCCTCCGATGTTGAGCTGTCTTCCAGCTTTATCGGGGAGAGTGACGCCTGCAGAACAGAAGATGTCACTCTTGACATGAAGGGGTCTCCAGGCTTTGGAGAAGTCGTTTTTGAGACTAAGATCGAGCTCATAGGTACCGGTCGTGTTTGGCGCGCCAGTACCGGACTTTTCCATGAACGTAACCTTTTTGTTGATACCAGCGGTAGTGATGAGAGGAACGACGACGCCGCCAATAAGGAACTCATACGAGCCTGCGTCAGGGCCAGTTGGTTTGTGCCAAGTGTAAATATCGTCTCCAATCCACCTGTAGTAAGAGTTTCTACTTCCGCCACCACAGTAATATGTTCTGTCACCGGAACATGGGACTTGACAATCCGTTTCTGGTTGTTGCGTGGAACCAGCATCAATAGCTTTTTGGTGATCGCCACACATACATTCATCTCCATATTGGCTATTGAATGGTTAGTCTACCTCTGCACATCTAAGCGAGATCACTTACAGTCCAGCAGCCATATAACCGTAGTCATGGCAGAGGTTAAGACACGATGTTGCGGTATTGTTTGTCGTCAAAATACTCTGCCACAAAAGAGCTCTACCGTCCATATTATCACTCCAGCAACCTTGGTAAACCCAACTTCCAGGAAGACCCGTTTTCTGTGCAGTTGGAGCGGCGTAAGCCTTGAGAGCCCCAGTATGGTAGAGACTGAGAGCTCCTGGAGCACCACATTTCTCGGCTGCGTTGCCTGAGCAGCTCATTTGGCATTTCGAGTCGTCTGTGGGGGCGGCACCATTGTAGAGTACATTATCACAGAAGCATTCTAAGGACATCACAGTCAGCCACTCTTCATGGATACAAATAGGCGATTAGATAAAATGGCTTGTTGGTTAAACTTACGCGAAGAATACTCCATTCCTGCAACGGTATACCCTTGAGCAATGCAAGTGTTAACACAGCTCTCAACGCTATTGGTTCCGCTCTCAAAGACCATAGTCGTGAGTGCACGTCCAGTTGTGCCTTCGGTATAACAGCCGTCATACTGCCAGCCAGTCGGTAGCCCAGTAGCTTGAGTTGGTGGGGTAGTTGGTGGAGTGGGAGTAGTCCCTGGACCTGGAGCTGTGGAGCTTGGTGGTGGGACGGTACCATTCTTGATGTAGACGTTCAGTCTGTTGCCTGCTCCGCAATATTATAAAGTATCTCCACCGCAAGTGAAGCTGCAATCGGTTTCTGGGGCTTTGGTGCTACTGGTAGCGAGTTTATTACCGCAATAGCACTCATGGCCGTACTCAACGCCCTGAAGAGTGAGATATTAGATATGGATCTTTGGGTATTACGAACATGGTCAAGAGCTTACGAAATAATCATAGCTGGCACAAGATGTTGCACAACTCTCCACCGTAAGGGTATCGGCAGGAAAAGCGCCAGGAGTCAGAGCACGACCATTATTTGCCTCTGTATAACAACCGAAATAGTTGAACGGCCCTGCGGATGGTACAACTCTCAGAACAGTTGGCGTTGGTGTTGGGGACGCGCTTGTGCTAGAGCTTGATGCTATTATGCTACTTGTCGGAACCAAAACTGCACTTGAGATCAGAGAGCTGGAGCTTGAGAGGCTCGACGCGATTGCGGAGCTGCTTGTAGATACTGATGGACTGCCACTAGACGATGATGATGATGATGATGGCGAGATCGCGCTGCTTGAGACAGGACTCGATGTAAGCACGCTACTCGAGCTCGACACACTGGCTGAGTTTCTTTTAGATGTCGAGGCAGAGCTAGATAGACTCGAGGTCAATATAATAGAGCTCGAGGTTGGGACAAGCGAACTCGAAGATCCAACATTGATTACAGCCGACGAGGAAGATGAGATATCGATAGTCAAACTGGAGCTTGGCGCCTTGGACGAGGAACTTAGCAATTCGCTGCTGCTAGATGAACTAGATGGCTTCACTGAAGAAGATGAAGACTCCGAAATAGTAACACTCGAGGTTGGATTCTTGGATGAAGAGCTGCTAGCACTGGACGAGCCGGAGATTGCGGAAGAGGATGACGATAATGTGGCGCTCGAAGTCGACGCTTGGGAGGAACTTGGCGAACTGCTCGCTGTTGGAGATAGTGCTGGACTGCTAAATGAAGACGACAAGACCTTGGTACTCGAGCTTGTCGGTGACGTGGCGGTAGATGACGAGCTTGATGTAACAGGATTTAACGAACTTGATGAAGAAGTTGTGGGCAATTGTAGGTTCAAACTGAGGACAGAAGATGATGAACTGCTGGATGGCAACTGAGATGACGAAGTGGTAGGCACGGCAGAGCTGCTGGAAACAACCGAGATGCTAGAAACTACCGAGCTAGCGGAGGTTGACAACGTTCTCTTTGAATCAAGTTATAACATATTCAATGTAATAGGATACCAGAACTTGCTTACCGTAGACGAAGCAACCACAGAAGAGACCGTCGATTGCGAACCAATGTAACCCTGCTTGTAAATATTCAATCTATCATTAGAACCACAATACTCGGAAGAATTCCCAGCGCAAAGCGAATTGCAGTCAGAAAGACCTCCAGGTGCAACAGTGGCGGCGTTTTTGATTGAATTATCACACCCTTGTTCCTGTTAGCGATGGGAACTTCGGTCAAAGCAGAAAAGAGGAACTGACAGCATTCGTGATAATATTCCAAGCCAGCGTAAGAATACCCCGCTGAGTTGCACGTGGCAATGCAAAGGGCGACTGTAGCTTTGGAGTCTCCTCCTGGTACAGCATAGCCGTGAGAAAGAGCACGACCTCCCTTTCCTTCTCTGTATTTTGTTAGTAATCTGCTTTTTATATGGAAGCTAAATGGCTAGGAATGTAAGGAAGCGCTTAAGTGTAACATCCGTAGAAGCCATAACCCGCAGCACCGGGATTTGTTGATGGACCGGGTGGTGGATCTTCTCCGTTCCAGAATACTGTCAATCTACCTGGCCCACCGCAAGCTTCAGTGTTGTTGCCACTGCATCCCATCGAGCATTCGCTACTTGGTGCTACGGCACTAATAGAGCCAATCACATTTCCACAATCTGTGACGGGAATATTAGTCTAAACTGCTATAAATTTGGCATAAAAACTCACAGCATTCATTCGAATATTCAGTTCCGGCGTAAAGATAGCCATTCTGATCACAGAATGCTATACAATACTCATCCGTCATCAACGTCCCAGAGGAAGTCGCCTTCCCAATAAGAGTTCGAGGCCCATTATCAGTATAACATCCTTGGTAAGTCCAAGAACCTGGAAGCGATGCAGGAACCACAGCAGGTGTCAAAGCAACATCTCTCGTGTGTGGCATTGCAGCTGCAATCCTCTTAAACAAACCTCCTCCATGCCCATATCCATTATCGGAACTCGAAACTGCTGCTCCCACGAACATCAACGCGACAGCGACCTGAAAGAGTGAAGGCGCCATCTTGGTTGAGAAGGGAAGAGTATTAGGGGTACCAAGAAAGTAAAGAGTGAAAAGAGAGAAAACTCATAGATAGGAAAGGACCACCAGAGGGCGTGAGGCTCATCATGATGTAGTAAAGACATCAGTATCAAGCACGGACTACGCGAGGGATAAGTGTCTTGGAGTATTCTCCACTAGGCGGGATACCTCCACGCACCTGGAAGTTATCAAGTGATGTGAAAATAATGGTCTAGAACAGCTTACCATATTAGTTCAAGCTATTGCTTTTTTGAGAGAGCTTGTTCTCAGGCAGTGGCGTCCATGGACGTGAGGGAGAGACAAGTGATGGCTTTCTCGTGACAAGGCTCAAGGGGTAATTATTGAAAGTTCAAGTCGAAAATGATACGTTATGCATAGAACGTGATATGCCCCTTGGGTGGTTATCCCTCGACAACAAAAGAGTCCTTGATCACTTCTGTTCCTATTGAAGCATCAGTGCTGGTCTTGTCAAATCTTTCATACGAACTCGTTTTTTGGAAGGTTGAATCCTTGACAAGGGGTAAAAAATGTGACTAAATATGTTTATTGTTGACGGCGATACCCGAGTTCGTGGAGGTTCAATTAGGAAATGGCGGCACTCCCCAAGTCGCCCGTATGGTTCTGCAAGCCGTTTTCATCCAATACTGAGCCACTTGCAATCGCCATGGCAAAAAAAACCTACCAATCATTTTAATATGACAACTCACCCTGAGCAATCCAAGAAAAATGACATGGCATTTCTCTCCAAGAATAGTACAGCTGAGCTTTGGTAAGCGAGAGGCCAAAGCACTTTTAACCAAACCCCCAACTTAGCCGCATTTAACCAGAGATAATTATCAATTGGGTGTTGTAAAAATTCGTGTTCAACCGACCTGTGTGGTGGTGTTGTTCCTGCGTTAGAAGCCACCTAATTTATTGTTTTCTTTTGCTATTCATTTGTCTCACCTACCCGTCCCGGCAATATTTACTGTCTTTACCCCTTTTATGAGCCTGCATCTCAATACAATGCGCCTTCTGCCCCCTTGATATTTCTCCGTGGAGTTTTAACCAAATACGTGGCGAGTGAGTAATCGGAACCCCATTCTGAAAGGGGCTACATTTCAGGGCTGATAGTGTCAAAGTCCGAAAAGGACTTCTGTAGCCTTCCGCTGCAGAAGCATTGCACACGTGGATCGCTGCGGCGAAGGATCTACACAAGTCCTATCAAGATGAGTAGTACCTTACTGTAAATGGAGAGGTTCAAGAACAATCGCGAGATAATTGGACGAAGTATACAGACACACACGCTTTTCTCTCTATCCTCTGGTTCGTGTGCATTCAGATCAAATGCTTTGGGTATCAATGCGTAACGCCAGGAATGCCGCAAAATGTTATACAAATACATCAATCGTTCAATATGAAATGTGCGGGCAAGACCCAAGCGGATCAAACTAGCATCTCATCCCCATCTTCATCAAAAACGTCATCGTAGCCAAGGTTGTTATCCAGGGCCAACTCGTCTTCATCATCATCTATATCGACCTTGCTATATTCATGCACCGCGAGTGGTTTGGAGGGTAGCACAACTGAAAATCCAGTTGTTTTCTTGTCCTTGTTTTGCGCCATTATAGAATCAGTTCCTTTGCCGGCTGCGAGCATGCTCTCGCGTTTTGCTCGATACAGGTCACGCTGTAATTTTTTCTTGTAGCGCTGACCGTTGTTGACTGATGCTCTGCCGCGCTCGAGCTTTTGGCCGCGCACTGATTCAATAACTTGCACGCCCTCGGAGTTGAAGAGCCAGGGCTCGTTCTTGCGCAGGTCATATTCGGCAGGCTCAGGAGCTTTTAACAATGTCAGATTGCGTCGAAGGAATGTGAAATTTGCAGACTTACAAAAAGTTTCGACTTGGGGGCCGTCACCCAGATGCCAAGCGATTGGAGTCAAGTGTTCTTTTTCCAGGTGTTCCTTCCAATCAGACCTCTTTCTGAACGCGACGGGGGACGAATGCGGAAGGGCGGAACCTTCTGCAGAGTGAGATGCCTGGCCTTCAATGTTTAACGCGTTCGTCTCTGCTGTATGGAAATCGGCGCACTTTCGAAACATGCAGGGAATCATGCCCGTGACCTTGTCTCGTTGTTTGTGCAGAATGTGCAAGTGTTTTCGAAGAGTGTCGAGGTTGTGCAACTCAGCAGGACACCCTTTCCATTCGCAATAGTAAACAGGAAAATATGGTTCAGGGCCCTCAATTAGTTTATCAACAGCAAAAGGACGGCCTCTTTTCTTAGGTTGCTCGCTGTCGGGTCCGGTGGATTTCAACTTTTTGGCTGCTTTCTCTGCTGCCTCAATGGTTGTAAATGGACGGCCACGCTTCTTCGCGGGTCCATCTCCACTGGACTGAAGATCTCTTCTGGCGGCCTTTTCTGCTGCTCTTGCCACGGACTCTGGGGTGGCGAACGGTCGACCGCGCTTTTTGCCCATGGCGTTTGTCGAAGTGACCGATGGAGGAGATCGGTGCAGAGATCGCACTGGACTGCTGTTTATCTCAACTCGAAACGAACTTGTACGATGTTGGCCGAATGTCGTCAATGCTGGCGCCTCGCCCGCTGAACCGAGTTTGGGGTTAGAGTCGTTGTGGGAGTGGGCGAAAGAATTGTGATGTGTTGCCTTGCTAGATGTTTTCATGTGTCTAGGAGATTGTATGACGACCGCAAATGGCGAAGCCGACTTGGGGGTGCTGGTATTTTGGCGAAGATTCAAATTAGTATGAGCAGCATCGTCGCCCTTTCGTCGTCCACTCTCTTCTTTTGGTAGGTAGTTTCCATTTTCACTACGTCCTCCGGCTTTCATAGCATCCTGAAGTACTGGATTATGCACACGTGAGGGTCCGCCTTCTCCTCTTGGGGGTTCTCGCGGAGGCAGGAAACTTTGAATATCATATGGGTTTGCCTTTGGGGCTTCTCGCAGCGGCACAATTTGGGTAGTATGTGCTGTGGCTTTCGAAGTTTCATGTACCGCAGGTGTTTCTCCATACGGGCTTCTATATTGACTTCTCTTTCCTCTCAGGGGGTCCCAAGCTGCCCGAGTCTGTATGTTGGAAATTGCTTGCGCACTGGGGGGATGGCTTTGCATCGGATTTTGCATGTAAACATGTCCTCGAGGTAACATACTGGCAGAGCCACCGATCATCGCATGACTGTTTCCCTCTCTCCCACCATGATGCGTAGGATGCGCAGGATGCGCATGATGCGCCGGCGATTGCGAAATTGGCATTTGCGGCTTTCCTTGTGCGCTAGAGGACTCTTGTTGTAGCGAAGTTTCCTTGTAAAGGTTTCTTAATCCATTGATAGGTAGCATGCTGGCAGCACCACCCACGCTTCCTCTCTCTCCTCCATCTTGATGCGGCCCCATTTCCTGCAAAACACCCAATATAGGGCTTTGTGCCAGAAATCTATCTGTCTCCAAAACTCTTTCTAGCAAAGTCTGCAGACTTTTTTCTAGTGAAGGCGAGTTGTTGGATATGAGTGGATTATGGTCGTCATTGAATGAGGGGGTGCTGGTATAGGGGCGTGGGTGCGAGTGGACTATTCCAGTTCCTTTCTTCTGCAGATTGTCTTCCATAGGAGATTCTAGTCTCTGTATGAGTCGAGGAGGTTGTAGAACATCGTGATTGTTGGTCGCAGCAGGTACCTCTTGTTGAGGGGGTCCAGAAATTGGTGCGGTCGGATCGGGTCTGAGATCAACGGAACTAGCAGCTTGGATCGCGTAAAGCTCAAGCAATGCTACTCCTTTCAGTTTCTCAGCCTCCCTTTTGCTGACTTGTGGGCGCAAATTTGGTTGTTGTTGTTGTTGTTGTTGTTGTTGAACTGGACTTTGTACAATTCCTGGATTGCCAGATGGAGTCGCGACAACGCGGGTCGGTCTTTCTTCGCGATTGCCGACTGCGGGCAGGGAAGGCTGATTAGGGTCGCCGTCGCCCAGGCGAACCTCCTCCACAATTCTTATATCAACATCTTCTAAATTCTCGTCCAACTCAACATCATTATTGTCTGCAAATGGTGTCTGCGGAAGGGTAATATTATCAGTATGTGATCATTGGAAGTAACAAATCTACCAGACTTACGCCTGGACTTTTCCCTCCTGCTGATGATTGAATCCATGTGTTCACAACGTCCATTATGGACCTATCCTCAACTGGCACATCATTCAACGTGTTCTTGGGTAGCTGCGAAAAGGCCTCTTTGTTCGCTCTGCTCACTGGTATATTTGTCCTTCTTGTGCCTATAATAAGGCAGGATGAGCTTGAGGATGGTGGCATCATGGTGAAAGTGAAGTGAGTTTGCAAGAAGAGCTCACAAAAGAGGCTGTAGAAAAGGTAAGAGGATGTGAATAAACAGAATTTCCAGTAGCTGCGGGCTGTCTGTGATTCACAATCCAAGGATAAGTTAATTGAGTGAATGGGATATGTTCTCTTACGCGGCATTGGTCGGCTTAGATTATATCCCATAAATTAGAGGTATTGATTCTTCTCTAAGTAGACAGTCAAAGTGGCAGTTAATGCCTCTTCCAATTCTAACTTAATTTAACGTATTCTATTATCTAAAGGTTTTGGATAAAAATGTAACTAATTTTCAATATTCGAGAATGGTTATAGTAAATATACCTTAGTTACCTATAATATATATAACTTACTCAATTATTTCCAGATAATTAAAAAAAATAAAAATAAACAACTAGATAAATATGATGAACTAAATCTATAGTATAAAAGAACTTGTCTTGTTACTCAAATGTTGTTTATTGATGAATCTAATACTATGGCGCTCTTAAGTAGTAGACTGCCCGTCTTAAGTAGTAGACTGCCCGTCTAAACGCGAAACATATATCACACTTATTGTACACTGCTATCTGCTAGCTTAAATAGCCTCAAATTCTCTTTGTCTTTCCAACTCTGTTACGCAGTCACAGACAAACGCTCACTATGCTAAATGGCAGAAGCACTTTTTATCTGTTAGCTTAAGTGGCATTCTATAGTCATCTCACAAGACACCTACTTCGAAGATGAGAATATACATAGTATATTTCTGTAAGAGGTATCGGTTATATACAGAGTGTATATAAGACAGTGGAAGTAGGATGGTCAGATGACTGTTAGGTACATCGGGAATCAAAAGAGTAAGAATTTGACTTGTGAAAATGTCTTGATTTTTCTAACTATAAGGACAGTAAAGGTCTACATATACTCCTTAGATAGATTTTAGGAGGTTCTATAGATTATAAATAGAATAGAAGTGCTTATAAATAGAAAGGGATACTAGAATGTTTTGGTTCACGTGATCGAACGTTCTAGAATAAGCGAGAACAGACTAAGGTTTAAACCTAAAGTCTATTAGTAAGTAAGGTAATTATTACCTAAATGAAACAATTTCGTAAAGCGATATGTCATGTGCTACAATTGGTTGGTAAACGTGGGGGTGGAGTTGGTGCCCCAAAATTACCTATCCTTACAGTACCCAGGTATCACCACTTACCCTTCTTGGGTTGACCACATTTCTTCAGTAGATAACCTAAATTAATTTTACTCACGCGATGATATAAAGCGCATTTCAGATTTCTCCAAGAAACATGTTGCCTCAGACCTTCCCAGTATAGTCATATACGCTCTTTGCCATCACCACCTTCTCCCCTTTCCTCACAGCGAGCCGTCTCACATACCGCCTCACGCCATCCACTGACTCAAAGCTCCAGACATGCTCGCCTACCATCCCGTCACGACTGCTTTCTATAACTATTCGTATATATTTCGCGTCCAAGGTGCCCCCTGCATTTAGAACTCCATCTCTCAACACATCCTCCGATAATTCCGCTGCTGTTGACCACCCCATCTTTGCCTTGTAATCCCCAAGCAAAGAATCAGTCTTATCGACTGTGGACCAGTCGAGCGAGACATTGTCTGTTGAGCCACTCCCGATCACCACCGCATGAATTTCGAGACAGATCATACTGTCTTCAAGGCGTGTAGCAGATTTGATCGTCAATCGAGGGGTGGCATATGAAGCGGCTTTTCTGACAGCCCAAGAGACACCTTGCTGATTCCACGGTCAACTTCTGAACAATTGTATTGGTACCTCAATCACCAACCAGAGCCAGAAGAGCATCAAAGGAATCGGAGAGTTTTTTGTTCTATATGTGTAATCTAATGTCAGCAATCAAGATTACCATTGATTAAAGAAGTGATTAAATTACCAACATAAATTTGCCATCGAGCTGATTTAGGTTGACCTCTGGAGGTGCGGCCATTTTGGTAGATTGAAGAATGATCAAAAAAGTGTAAGATCTTATGTTTTCTCATGTTTCATTATTTGCGAGGCAGTGGGATTTTGTACCACCAGACTAGTACGCATGGCGTGATGTTCTACCATTATTGAAAGGGAAGTTTCCAAGTGCCGAGGTGATATTGAACTTTGAACTCCTTCCAAATTCAAGCTTCTGCATATGCTAAAAATAGAAATCCTCGCCTAATAACGATCTCGGTTTTCGAGTCTGTACAACTTCCAAACAGTGCATATTAAAATGTCAGACTAGCTAGTGTGACGTATTTTCTAAAAGAATTACGCGAACACCCCCGGGATACCCGGATATTCAGCAAGATGCAAACGTAGTCTTGTTGTTTTCAATATCAAAATTGAAATATACATCTTTGGATACTATTTCAGCTCTGCTACATAAACTGGTCTGTGAAGAGTGCGAAATATCCAAGCTCACGCTACCAAAGATTTTGCTTCCTCCGATATACCTTGTTCTGTCGACGTTCAGTAGCGTCGTGCACTTATTAATCCATTCTCAATGTGTGCGTCGAGGTCTATCGATGCTGTATCCCTTCCAGACGCGAGAGGTATGTGAAAAACGTGCACTCTAAAGTGGAGTAAAAGTGCTACAAATCCAGCACTTTACTCCTACGCACGTACTTTTAATGCTGTCCTGGATCCATATAAACCCACATTCCAAGCATTTAAATCTCGTTTGTATCCAGTTATTGCATCCACTTTGCGTGCACGTTTTGCACATACCTCTCGCGTCTGGAAGGGATACAGGACCAAATTGGCTTCAGCTAGTATGTTCAAGCCAATTCTGGAAGCCTAAGGACCATGGAATTCCCCGGTGCACGCTAGCTAGAACGCGAATGGAAGATAAAGCTCCATTTTAGACATGAAAGATACTATGTTCAACTTTTATGATTGCCATTCAGTTCCTTCTAAGATTACACTTAAAGGAGAGAGTGTTATGAAGGTTATGATGGTAGTAAATGGAAATAGTCGCACATCTGAATCAGAAGTTGCAATTCGCTTAGTCGTAGCACTGGAGACATAAAAAGCTGCAACCTTTGCACTAGAACTATTTTGAGAATCGAAAACTCTGAGCATACGAAGGAAATCCAAGCTTTCAAGCTTTAGGGCATATGTACTCTCAATAAAAGTCTATCTTGTGTGTAACATGACGCGAGGCCATTTCACAGGTGATCCGTGGTGACCGCATTCAGGTATAGTAGAAGAGTACTTTGAAACGTTATCATATCAATTTAGATTCAGTTTAGGAAATTATCGAGAGGTAATAGGACTCAATAATACCATAGCATATGAAGTACGTAATATAAACCTACCAAATGTGACCATATAGTGGAGGAGCACCTTCCGAGGCCCTCAACTTCTGTGAAAAAACACCATAAGCCACTTCCACGTATGGTACGTAAGATGACTGGCTATTTACTTCAAGTGAAGAATTGTTTCTTTATCGAGACTAGCATGGCATTACCAGTTGCATATATGTGTCGGTAAGTTGTCGTCCAAAATCAGACTCCGCTTTGTCTGGTTTTCTTCAAATTAGAATATAGATGTATCAAAATCCTCAAGATACGTTGTGCTATTTATCGAAGGTGGGGCTGAAGTGATACATGATCTTGGAATTGTTACAGTAATAGTCGATTCGTTCTCGTTAGATATTGTCGTAAATCCATGTAAAATCTGACTCTCCATCCCTGGACACAGATCAAAAAGTTAAGGAAGTTCAGTACCATCATCATGGTGCAAATTACTTCAATGAATCTTCTCGAATGTATTGTAGGTCGTCTCATACATCACCGTCATCTTCCAATGCTTTAGCGAGTAAGTTCCCAGGAGCGGGGATAAGCGCAACGCATACAGATGTTTCCCGATCTACCCTAAGCGACTCAATACCGGCATGAAATTCCCCTTCCGATGTCAATACAGGAATCTCGCGCGTTTTAATCCCATGTGGAGTTCTTGGGCTGACGTATTTTGGGTGATCAATCAAAGGAGACGAAAACATAAACAAATCGAATGGCCGCTTCTTGTGGAGCAACTGTCCAGACGTAAGTTATTTGGGTTGCCCATTGTCACCAAAGTGTTATCTAGAGCAGTGGCGGGTTCAATTGAATGCTAGTGTTTGTGCAAACACTCAATAGCATTAATGTTTTCGCATGAGCTAGAACAGCTTCGGAGTACCATCTCACACATATTGTGCTAATTTCATTATCAACAGAAGCAAGACTGTGGGGTTAATATTTACGTCATGAGAGGCACTCATTCATGTCAACGACGCGTCTTCAAGAATCTCAAAAATATAAAAAAGGGGATTACGAACCCCACAAAGGGCAGGTTGCAACTGGAGAAATCTCGGGTATGGAAACGGTCCATGTAAGTGGGAGCCGTTGTTACAACGGGAATTCTCCTCTGGAACCTGAATGTTTTCTCCCAAGGTGCGGAGGTACGAATGAAAGCCGCAGAAGATGTGAGTAGCCAAAAAGCGTAAGGCGTAAAGTGTGGGGGTGGGCCCGGCTCCATAGCGGTCCCCAATTCATATTGGTATCCACTTCAAAGGGGCGTGGTGCCAGGTACCCAGTCTCACCTCAGTTGGGCTTGAGATCGTCTAGATAAGCTTCCTGCTTCAAAAGCAAAAGCAAACTCTGATCAAATAAGCATTCCGAAATAAGCTCAAGAATAAACGGTTGAAGCTTATTTGGTCGTACCCCGTACTTTGTGCCTACTCATACGAAGTATGTTCTTGTCACTTGACAAATACAGGCCACACATAGTTCTTTTAATTCTTATAATTACACAATTGCCAAGCCAAAGGCTCTTGGTTCACGGGGTCATATACGGATTTTTGGGTTTCGTTGAAGTTGGGTGCAGCTCCGTAGACGCTCGCAATGGTTTTCTACCACCCTGGACGATCAACCAAATCGGGCTGTTTTTGTTCTCGTTGGCGAATTGCTTCTTCTATTTCTCACCATATGTTCGGAAGGGTGTAGAAATACTGTTGTTTGATAACCTCAGACTCAAGTACGCACGCGAGAGGCGTAGAAAGTACCAGCTTAAACGGTGATAACTCTGACTCTGCCCTTACTCGAGCAGCCAATTGTTGTGGAGTGCGGAGGACATTCCGCGGCGCGATACTATATCCACTTCCACAAATACCAAGACTAAACTACCAGGCAGGTGTATCAAACACCTAGTCAAGTATTCCATCAACGGTCGCGTAAAGTACGGACATACGGAGGCACAGAACATACGAAGTAGTACAGTATTCTGTAGAAGTACTTGGAAGAATTCCAATCGAATATGACCCGCCTCATCACTCACAGAGGGCAGAGCAGGCGGTCAGAGCACGACCTGGCTGTATCTCAAAATTGATCATAGATGTTATTGCATATGATTATTACTGAACATGTGGGGATGGATAATTACCGATGCTTGAGGGCGCCGAATCGGTAGCTTGAATCTGAAAGTACTTAATCCCCCAAGAATCTCTGGTTCTCCCTACCTGTTCTTTACCGCAGTCCAGTTCACCCTCTTTCAAGTTCCTGTTCAGTTTAGGAAAGCCACTTCATCTTCCTATATGTACAAAATGGCTCGTATCTCTGACCTAGTGGGTGCAGTCACTGCACTTTGTGGTACTGCATGTGCACAATTCGGTTCCAATGTTCCTATTGATACCCGAAGCCTGGATGAGATCTACGCAGCAGCCCTCAAGGAGACGGGAACTCTGAATGTCGCAAGCGGAGGTGATGGTAGGTTTCCCAAACCTATCTCGTTTTAGTTATTGAGACTAAATTTTCATTCTTAGCTGGATGGCAAGGAGATGGAACCGTTGCTGCTTTCGAGGGTCGCTTTCCAGGTCTTAAACTTAACCTAACCGTCGATCTTTCCAAGTACCATGACAGCAGAATCGATCGCGCTTATTTGGCTGGAAACGAGTATATAGATGTCGCCATTCTCCAGACTCTTCACGACTTCCCAAGATGGAGAGATCAACAACGGCTCTTGAATTATAAGCCAGCGAACTTTGAGGACATCTACCTTGGAGAGAAGGATCTCAACGGTGCTTTTCTTCCAAACTCATTCAGTAAGCTTGCTTGTTTCTTGTAGTGCTTCTATCCACTAACATTTCTCGTTTAGACAGCTTTGGAAATTTCGTTTATGACTCAACCAAGGTTGCTGCTGCCGATGTCCCAAAGAACTACATGGAAATCTTGGATCCTAAATGGAAGGGAAAGCTCGTTTTAACTTACCCAAACGATGATGACGCGGTTGCGTATCTCTTCAGCATCATCGTTGAGAAATACGGCTTTGGGTGGTTGGACGCCCTTGCCCAGCAAGATGTCCAATGGGTCCGAGGAAGCGAAACACCTTCCATCAAGATCCTCGAGAACCACTCCAACTCTACTGGCTCTGACCGAGTTCTCACGTTCACTTCCATCGGCTATTTCAAGGGACCAGCAGACTTCATTACATCCGCACCAGTTGAAGTACCCGAGACGAAGATGTCTTGGTGCCAAACAATGGCCATCTTCAAATCTACCAAGGTCCCCGAAACTGCCAAACTTTTCATGTCGTACATGAGTAGTCCAGAAATTCAAGGTGCTAGTGGTGGTTTGTCTACACTCATGAGCTTGGATTCTGGAAATGTCTACAGCAGCAATATCACCCAAATCAGCTGGTTCAGAAACTTCATGCACGATCGAGCCACGGTTGATTGGTGGAAGTTGCAGTTTGAGACCACCCTTGGTTCTGCTCAAGGTCCAGGCCCTCTTGAGTTGTTTCCAAAAGGATCATAAGTATTTCTTTGCTTGGAGGGATATGACTATATATGTACGAATATTTTATGAAGCCTATGTGTAAAGTCCTAATTGATTCTTCACGAAAACTTGCTTTCCCATAAAACAAACCTTTGAATTACTTCAAATCTGTATTAATGAGTGCCAGCCTAGGCTCTGTATAGTCAGAGAATATCTACCTTGATAACGTTCCGCTTTATTTATGCAGGCTAATGCATATGTCGTAGGTTCTTAATCTTTACTATGATCCATAGTACCCGAAACTTAAGCGAGGCTCTTCTGAGGACTCTGCCTCCCAGTGGACAAGAAAAGTGGCAGAGATTCATTTTTCGATTATTAGTTTTCGATTATTAGCGTAAATTAATTCTGAGTACTAAAATATATTCAATATCTAGAAAAATTGCTTTTTTTATCCTATCCTTTTAGATTAACCATGTTCATTAGTCTAAATAAATAATATAATAGAATAGTTTTTAGTCAAGTTCAGCTATAATAAAAGAAGTCTCTGCTACCTTTCCTGTCCACCAGGAGTCTGCTTTAGGCTACGTAAGCTCTAATAACCTGTGTCAGGGTTCTAAAGTCTTCGGGTTTTACGGAGCGTCTATGCAAGCTAGCGTATTCGAAAAGAAGTCGTCGCTCTAATCTCTAATGTTTAGAAATAAAATTTAATCAAAAATGGCTTTATTATATTAGAGCCAGGCTAGTATAGAAACAGCCTACACGTTAAGGCCCAGATAGTACTATAATCTGTGTTATAGATACATTCTATACCGTTCTAGGAAAGTTCTAAGGACGATATACCTCGCGAGATACTTATCGCTCTTACTAAAAAAGACGACTTTATACAATAGATTGTAGTTCCAAAAATATGATCGACAACGTCTATACATGGACGGATTTCGAAAGTGTCGAAGGAGTCTAACTGCGGCCAGTTTCAGGGAAAAGTAGGCCGATGTTAGGCCAATACTTTTTTCAAGTAAGATCTTTCATAGAGCATGATGTTATGGTCTAACTTAACCAAAATGCTTAATAGATAACAATAGCGGAAGATATTCGCTTTGGTACATATCGGAATTATTTGATTGTTGTATTTTTGCAAGAATATGTCTGGCGGTTCCCAAATGAATTCCTGTGATGATGTTTCCACATTTTTCCTGGACGAACGACACACGTGATCTGGTTCGGCCATCAACATTATGTATTCTAACACAATAACTCTACCACCAACCTTTTCAAGACAAATAAAAAACGCGTAATATTAACGCGTTTTTATTATTGAATCACTCTATCATATCTACTTACTGAGCTCTTACTCCTTGCAAAGCGCAGCCGCGCCTAGCGCAGACGCGCGTTGGCCCCAAAAATGGCCCCCCCGCCCC